CCACCATTTTACAGGGACAAATAATGTTTATTACATAACTTTATATCATGCCTTTTATTCCCGCAGAGGTGCACATTATGCCACTGTACAATGTAACACCCACTTTTTACTATTTATGTTATGAGTCCCATGTAATAAGGGGAGAACCTATTGCCATATACCGGGCACAATTCCAGACTCCGTGCTGCTACAGAGATTTTTTTAAAAACCTATTAATATTTTGCCCGACCCGGGAATTGAACCCGAGACCCCTTGTCTGGCAGTCGCACTTGTGACCACTCAGCCAACGAGGCTTGTTTATTACAATATGCTGTATATTTATATTTTAGACGTTTATTCCATTCATGGTTATCAAAAAGCTTTTTATTATCTGTCGTCTACTAATGAGTCTTTAAAAACGATTTGTGGTTTACAAATACTTATTCCATTTGTTAAATTGTACCTACCTATGAAACGTTCCATAGTTGTCAGTTGCCCAGCTGTATTTATTTATATGTATATATTTATATGTGTACGATTAGTTATGTTCAGGTTCAAAGGCATGGCTGTAACCAGCTCCGTGCAGGAGACGAGGCCCGGACGTATGAGCCGGCACTGTAATGCGGGGCTGCGGATTAATTTGGACTCCCGCGGCCCCGCGCGCACGTGTGAGGAGACACTGGGGTGGTTTTAGCCAGTAAGAGTCCGACACACCTCTCCGCCTTCCCCCAGGCGGAGGCAGTTCATGAGGATTTCCCCCCATTAAAAAAAAAGGGTTCAAAGGTACCAACATATACGGCAATAAAGTCCACTCTCAATTAGGTCTACTTTCATCAGGTCATTTATCTTCTACGTTAGACAAAGCAATTGAACTAACTAGAGTAGTAGCATGACTTGTAAGTCCTAGATTCAAGATGGTAGCACTTTCTGTTATTTGTGTCAGCGGAACATTGTAAGAAAATGATTTTCCTTGTTTGGAAATTATTAGTGATTGTCTTAGAAATCTGTTATCCTATGGCTGATTATCTTGTTGATCTGATAATCATTAGTATAATTACGAGAGATCAGATCGACAAGATTCTTAAGCAATTGGTTGAGGTCAACTTATTATTAATGTTTCCCCTTCATTTACTGATTAATATCATACATACAAGGATGTTAAAAAAAGACAAAAATAGTCTCTTGAATCAACTACTGTAGCACCTAGCTACTATAGACTTACACGCAGAATACACACACTTTGATACAAAGGATATCTGTCGCGTGACAAGGCCCGTCATTACACTTCATACATTACGGTGTTGCAAGTACACGCACACATAAATACACCACTGACATTTTGTTGCTTCAATCATTTGTAAGTGACATTACGTCCGCCTTTTTGGCAACGTCCTTCCGTGTTTTATTAGAGGCTGAATTTGTGTCTATGTTCAGATGAAACAGTAAATTTTAAGACGTTACTTTATTTAATAGAATGACACGAGAAAAATTTAAGAAGAAAAGAAACAGCACGCAACATGTGTTAGGTGAGGACACAGATGAAAGTCTAATGTACCTAATAAAAATGTATAGTGTCTGTCTTTCTTTCACATCAAAATCGTGCGTTTTCATGGTGTTATTTTTGTCTGAAGATCCTAATTAGGAGACTGTAGATTAATATTTTTTCTTTGGGAAGGCACCGGGGCGGAAAGTTAATAGTATATGCAAGTAGTAAAACGAGTACTAATCTAAATGTTTGTTCAGCGTAGCCACTAAGTCTGTGGACCGCTGTGCATGAAGTGTGAAGACATTGTAGAAGATCAGCGCCGTGACGACCCTGACATGTTTTGTAGCAATTTGTCATTTATGCCTCTGAATAAATTTAGAGAATTTGAACTATCATCTACACATACATTGTTATGTGGAACAAAGTGCTCTCAACACGTCTGTTCATCTTTTTATGAGATGTAACAGAAACACTGGCGTGTCTATTTCCATACAATTCTTGACAATTAATAAATTAATTTAGAAGTTTTGGTGCATGATAAGGTTTATTATTATAATTTAATAAAATATGTTCTACTCAAAATTGAGGTTTGGTACTTCTGAACTCTAAATGACCTGGCCTCAGTTTTTCCTAATCTTAGCATGTAAAGAATGTACATGTAAATGAAATATTGTCTAAATTCCGCAACACACTTCTGAGCTACAATCTGCAACAGACGCCTCTTGTGGGCGATAACGCAATACTTAAATGTTCACTGTAGCGCAACTTATTGCCCTTTATTATTTATCAGGCGCGTGGGATATTATAAAATTATGCAAATTGGAATGAGACTGGAGACTAAAATGATTATAGTGGATGTATTACAAAATTATACATTATAATAATTTTTACCCTTGGACGAACCTATCAAATTATATTAAATTTAAAAAAGAAAGTAACATGATAAGCCTTTTAAAGTATGAGTATTAAATGAAACGAGTAATAATGACAAAACCATTTTTTATTCTTTTTCATTACGACTTATTTTTTTGTGTTGAACAAAATATTCTATAATAATTTTGCACATAAAAACGTCAAACAGTTAAGGCATCCGTGACGTATGAGCTCGTTCCCTTAGCACTAAAGCATAATTATATATATAATTATAATTTATCCTATAACTATAATTATACTGTACAATATAACTGCAACAATGGACAGATAGGAAAACCCTTATTTCCTATTAAAATATATATAATTTAATATTATAAAATAATATCTATAATATTAATCCTACTATAACGCACTTCGTAGCATTTGTTAACATTTTTGTAAATATACTTCTATTCGTATTATTTATTTAATAGATAATTATTGTATTACTATTACTTAACAATCAAAACTCGTTGCCATCGATGTTTAGAAAACATTTTTATTGTATGAAATATATAATATTGAAACGTAGGTATAGTAGTAAATTTAAATCGCTGAACAATAAATCAAATTAAAATTACACACCTTGGTTATTTTTTAAAGTACCTAATGTTAGCTCCTAAACACTGCCACAGAGGGCCTCATCATCTCCTCTCACAGAATGTATTAAAGTACCTACCTATATATCTAAAACCACTTATATCTATAAATGAAACTTATAATTAGGGATTTATATATAAAAATCTCATTATACAAGCTATCACAATGATTTAAAGCTGATCATGATTGCGACACTATCCCATAAATGACGCTGATGACGTAAGCACCTTATTTTTAATTTATTTTGTTGTTTTAAAATTATACTTTAGTATGGATAAATAAGATTCATTTTTAATATGATTTTGAAATAATTTGCCTTATTCATTAAAACAGAGGTATTTTTTTGACATAACTGTATCTTCTTATTTGGATAAGGACAGTATAAGTGCCTTGTGTACTGTACACATATAAAATAATGTAACTAAGAAACTGGCTGTATGTTCATTGCTCATTAGCTAGTCATACAGACAGACATATACCCAGCAGATTTGCATGAACGGATACAGCTATCTGTTCAGGCTTATCTGCCGGGTTCCCGACTTTACCCGTCAGCACAAGTAAAGTCTGTGTGTGTGTGTGTGTGTGTAGATATTCGTGCCTTTTCGCCATAGACACATAGATTAAACCGTCAGGTATCAGGTTCAGGCAGATCTGCACGGACGATCTGTGCGTGTATGACTAGTTATTACCTATATATAACCGAGCACAATACCAGACTTGTTATTATACATTAAAACCTTTTAGTGCCAATTTTTCAATACTCAGATAAATTTTAAATGAAGTATAACTTTCAATATTTGACAATGCTCCCATACTAAAAGCTGTCAACTGTCAATTTTATTGTATAGTTAGGAATTAACTGATGATTGAAAAATCGGGCCTTAATAATATTTTGTTGTACTCATGTAATGATGCATCTTCTATAAAAAAAAATCAGAAGGCATTGATAGATACCCATAAAGTATACACGCGTTATGAATATTTAAATGTCTACAAACTTTAGAAAAACCACTTTTCTTTGTAATCTGATTACAACTTGACTTGAAAACAACAACTTTTGTATAACAATGCTCTATTAAATAGCTAATCTATGAGCACCTTAACCCTATATTACAATAATAATAAAATGTCTACGAATTTTGAACTTTATTCAAATAAATATACAGCACATTTCTTAAGATATATATTTTCAGAAATAAATATAAATCTTTAAACATCCCGACATAGTTTACGACTTTATTTTGTGCATTTTTTTTTGTTACGTTTGTTTCTTATGTTTTATTAAAAATTTTGAAAATAATTTCAAGCATCTACTTATAACTATATCTACATTCAAGATACCCTCACCCTTTTTAAAAACTAATAACTGTACATTCTCCTACAATTTTTTGTTCAAGTATATTTCATAGGGTAGCAACATCGTTGTATTTTTCCTCCCTCACGAAAATTTTGAGATTTTCTTGTTCGCAAAAAACAAATTGAGCTGTAGATTCCTACATTATTTTTAATTGAGATAATTTCGTCGCTATTTGAACCTTTGAAGATAAAACCGAGCTGTTAGATTAACACAGAACTCGAACGCTAAAGAGCCCTCGTTTCGATGTCACACTTTAAGATCAAAGTGTTCTAGATTTTTACTGCCTTATTTAAATTCTAAGGGGACTTTTTCTTGGTTTTTGTCTTCTTATCTTCGAGCCAAACTACTACAGCACTCAGTATAAATGCCTTGACATTTTAAAAAGTCCTATCAACAAAAAAATAACGCCAGCAATATTTGTAACTGTGCGATTACCATTCATTTAATCCCCGACAAAACCAACATTCAGAAACTCCAATATAACTTTTCGTATGAAATAAATCAAAAGGCCTAATAAGTAATAACCTAGTCGATTCAGTAAAGCTTTTCATTTTGTGCTTACATGACTTTCAGTCGACATTAGAGGCATTTCTGAAGCCTTAATACAACATTGATTTGCGACCAATGTTTTTAGGCAGCGACAGTGTGGCTCGAGAAATCTAATTGTTATGAAGAGGTCTTCGTTTTGAGGAGGAGGACAGGCCAGTACATGGTCACGAAGAGGAGGAATAGTGCTGGGAATACCACTCGAGAGAGTTTGTCGATCTCCCTCCATAACACTCGTTCTTGACCTGTGTCGGCGTCTAGCCAGGCAACCTGGAATAAAAAGCGTATTTTTAAAGAGTGTTCTTAACTTTTACCACGTAGTAGATAATTTATCATTTCCTAAATATCGCTTTTCGAAATAGCGAGACTTCAAGTGTTCGTTTGCCTGCAATAATTGCTGCTGGTTGGTTCGCCATCTTAGATATTTTTTTTATGGCTTAAGACGGTAAACGAGCAGACGGATCACCTGATGGTAAGCAATCGGCGTCGCCCATGGACACCTGGAATACCAGAGGCGTTACCGGCTTTTTGGGGATTAGGAGTTTGAGGATCGTTAGGTATTCAGGAATTGGGGAGATTGGGGAAGGGGAGGGTAATTGGGCCTTTGGTAACCTCACTCACACGACGAAACACAACGCAAGCGATGCTTCACGTCGGTTTTCTGTGAGGCCGTGGTATCACTCTGGTCGAGCTGGCCCATTCGTGCCGAAGCATGGCTCTCCCACACTTAAATCTTAAGAAAGGAAAGTAATCCTACCTGAAGAATGCTCTGCCGTCGTTCAACGCCGACCAGGTGAGCGGTGGCATGCGTAGCTGATGGTGCTGGGTGCACTGCCGGCGTGGCTGCTGGAGGTGACGTAGGAGACGTCAGGTCCACCTTACGACACCTGACCTGGCTCCCCTCCCAAGCCGCCAGGGTCCCACAAGAACCCTTCTCTCCATTCAAACGCTGCCACAGATAACGAAACATCTTTGTCTCAATAATCTTGGTTCGATTTGGAACTGGTTGTTGAGATTGAGGTCATGGAGTGCGGTTTGAGAATTTTGATCTTGTTTTATCAACTCATGGTATAATATCACGCAAAGACATTAGGAAATGTGTGTCTCAATACGGGAAACTAACAGGAGAAAATCTTAGTAGTAGAAAGGTGGATAACTTTTATTTTTTTTAATCTTTATTTATTTAGAGACTTTTCCCTTACAAAGGTATGTCAGCCTCTAAGGTGGATAACATTAAACCCAAATTTAAAATATTGGAAATAAATAAAAACTATTTGGTTAGACACTGGATAAGAATCTTATCAAATGTATCAATTTTCGGGAGTGCGAGTGAAGTGAAATGTGTGCTTCTATATATTATTTAAATTTCAGTATACTGTAAAAGTAAGTAATGTAACAAGAATAAGATATTTACCACCGGAATGATCCTTGGCATGGACTCCTGGGCTTTGGTCTTGTTCATCTGATATTGCTTGTCCAACACCTTCACGACGACAAACTCTCCGAGAGCAGCGAATACGAACATCATACAGCCAGCCATCCAAAGGTCTAGAGCCTGGACAAATGGAAAACATAATTCCTACTTATTTATGACTTCCAAGCTCGGCGCCTATTAATTATAGCGTGATATTTTATAGTCTATAGCCTTCCTCGATAAATGGGCTATCCAACACAGAAAGAAGTTTTCAAATCGGACCAGTAGTTACGGAGATTAGCGCGTTCAAACAAACAAACAAACTCTTCAGCTTTATAATATTAGTATAGATATTATTTTATCTGTTAAGCTTTCACACTTAAAATACTGAATGTCAATATAACATAATACATAACATAACGTCACGCCTTTTGTCCCCAAAGGGGTAGGTAGGGGTGCATATTACGACACTGTAACACCCACTTTTCACTATCTATGTAATGAGTCTCATGTAATAGGGGGTGAGCCTATTGCCATATACCAGAATATAGAATATTTTTCATAATATCGTTGTACAGTGGTATAATGTGCACCTCTGTCTACCCCTTCGAGAATAAAAGGCGTAATGTTATGTTATTTTATATTGGGCGGCACATTCTGATTTAGTAATTTACAAAATACTATCATGTCTGGCATATCTCACTCAGCACTTCGTAATTGGATGTTGAATTTGTGTTCAATCGACAGTAAAGCTCCTGTCATTACTTTCTTGCTTCCTCGACATGAAACCATGTGACCTATTTCCCACATAGAAATCAAACCAGCAACCTTGCGTATCGCTGACGTGTGCATAACTAAGGAGGTGTATTATATTTCTTGCAAGAAAAAAGGAAATATCGAAATCTTATTATGTTACGCAGAATTATTTATTTAGCTGCTTATACCATTTTCCTTGTTTGTGTGCAAATTGGACTAAGCTCCCTGTTTATTACAATCTACTTAGAGAAATAATATATCTATCAATACAAAGGTATAAAGAAACAGTAAAAAATATGTCTGTACTGTAAATTAAATATTTTTCAATAAAATATATGTGAAGAAGTACGGAGAAAACCAACTTTAGTAAAAGAAGTTTGATTACTATGTTTCTCTGTTTGCTCAGGCTAATATTCGGAACTTATATGAATGAATTTGAATGAAACTGTTTTGGTGTATAACTAAAAAGCTTGGGCAACATGTAGGGAATTTGTATTAAAAAGATAATTCTGCTTTAAAGTCATTTGTACGAGAATGAAGTCGCAGGTAAAAGATAATTTCATACGGACGTAGTCGCGGGCAGAAGCGAGTTCAAAACGAAAACATCTTGAATGAAAATTACAAGATTTTGTACCTAAGAAGACATCTTGCGTATTTCCAATTAAATATTGAGAAGGGAAAATAATAATAAACGTGGTTTTAAAAATCCGAGGAACAAGATTCCCTTTTATTAAATTCCCTGGAAATTGCCCTTACTGATGAAATAAGGTCGACTGAATAAAACATTTCCTGCTAACACTTATCTTTTTTCTGCTGATCTGAGTAAATTCTAGATTTTCATTAAAGATTTGATTAATTATCGACAGTTTTCTATTGAACACATAACATAACATCACGCCTTTAATCCCCGAAGGGGTATAGGCAGAGGTGTACATTACGGCACTTAATGCCACTGAACAATATAACACCCACTTTTCACTATTTATATTATGGGTTCCATGTAATAGGGGGTGAGCCTATTGCCATATACCGGGCACATTTTATATTGAATTGAATTGGTCAAAAATGTGCGTATATATTTAACTAAATAAACCAATATAAGGTCGCAGGGAGCCTCTGGATGCAGGTCCTTTTTCAATCCGGCCTATCTGGAAATCATTGGGTGAGGCCTATGTTTAGCAGTGGACATCCTATGACTGATATGATGATGGAGATGATGGAGTGACCTTGAGTTTTGTTTTGTAGGTTAAAATGTAATGTGTATATATGTATATTGTAAGGCTTTCTTTATTATTATTGTGTTTAATACGTATATATATATTTTTTTCGTTGTACTTATAACTTCGTTTTAGTAATTTAAATATGTTTTTTTAACTAGATTAAGCCTCACTGTCGAATTGGGAAAATCCTGTAATGAGAGTGTAGGAAGATTTTTATAAAAAATAAATAAATAAATAAAATCGTTATTATAATAAAAAATCAAGATGCATAAAAAATTATATTCATAAAACAAAAATGAGTTATGATATGTTCCGGTTATGTTCTATTCTCATTACTCGGTTTGCGAACACCCTTATTAAACTTTAAATGAAGGGTTTTCTGCAGTGAGTCTAGAAGATGTTTTTATCTTATATTTCAGATTGTATGTATGTATGTATTTGAATACCTATTGCGCAATCACAAGTCTTATAATATTTTGCTTACCAGGAAAATTGAATAGGCTCTGAAATAATGCTAGCGTCTAAAATAGTATTATTGGATATTTCGATTTACGACGACTTTAATGCGAAGTCTGGAATACTACAAGGTTTTTGGGAATAGGTCCGCCTCTTACATATAAGCACTGTAGTGTGCTTGGGTGGCTCGCCGCCCGACCAGAACCAGACCCAAGCGTACGGCGCGTTGCGTTCCGCGCGCGCCTCAAAGAGCCATCAGGCCACCACGGCTGGGGCCCAATAGGGTTACCGCGGCTCTGGTTCGAAGTGCAGGAAAGAGGTGGTTTTTAGTCAGTCTGACACTAAGGCGGGAGAAGTCATCAGATAATTTTCCCCCTTAATAAAAAAAAGCACTGGAGTGTACCTATGTGGGTATTTGTATATTCTACAACACCGTCGAGACAGATGTCACAAGAGGTTAGGTGAGAGGATCAGTCGATTACCGGCCGGCATGCAGAGCGGTAGTGCGCACACCATTAATATCCGTATGGTATTATGTGACATACATATGTATTTCCATAACTAAGTGTCATAGCATTGATATGCTACAAGTGAACACTATAAGCACCTTATATAAGTTATTAGGACATATCTAGATTCTAGTACAAAATATTACTGCTATATCACTATTTACCTTTACATAAGCCACAGGTGGAATATCAGCTCTCAGTCCAGTGAACATGGTGACTAACGTTAACATGCATGTTACTAATAACGTCACTCGTCCAGGAATTGCATCCAGATCTAGCCAGAAGCTGAACCAGGATAACATCACGACTAGAGAAGATGGAGCGAAGGTTTGGATCAAGTGATGACCGATTTGCCGCTCGAACCTGAAGTATACTACTAATCTTGAGTAGTTACCTGTAAAAATAATAAATCAATGATTATCATGAAAAAATAGCCACGAGACATTGCTCAAAATAGGACTCTCCTAAAGACTTTTGTATAGGTCGGCTGGGACGTTGAGTGCGGCCTGTATCCAGCGGCCATTGTCCAGATGTTTTAAACGTCATTAAATGCCGCGGTGGTCATCGTATGGCCTATGTGCAGTCAAAGGCTTTTGGCAATTTGGCTTTTAGGTTTTTATAAGTGTTTTTTATAGCATAAGCCGGTCAACGAGCAGACAGATCACCTGATGGTAAGCAATCGGCGTCGCCCATGGACACCTAGAACACCAGAGGCGTTACAAGTGCCTTACCGGCTTTTTGGGGATTAGGAGTTTGAGGATCGTTGGGGATTCAGGGATTGGGAAGATTGGGGAAGGGTAATTGGGCCTCCGGTAACCTTACTCACACGACGAAACACAACGCAAGCGTTGCTTCACGTCGGTTTTCTGTGAGGCCGTGGTATCATTCTGGTCGAGCCGGCCCATTCGTGCCGAAGCATGGCTCTCCCACACTTATCTAGTCAGATAAATGCACAAAAGATATTATGCAATGCATAAGCATGGAAGTAAAGCGGCAAATGTAAATGTTTAATGTCCTTCTATTCTTTCGGTCTCATAATCTGACAGGACTGTAAAAAAGTTAAAACCGAGTCTTACATCACTACATTAGGCAGCAGGACACATTCGCTAATGTATCTTAATCAACAAAGAATAAATTCCTTTTTTCTATTTAATTATTGATATTTGGAATTTCTTGTTAAGCGTCGCATTACGTTCACCCGTGATCTCATTAATTGCTAACACAAAAGAAAACGTAGCTGTTATTCATCTTTACTCCAGTATAGTGTTTTGTTTGTTTTTCTGGGAAACCATAATCCGATTTGGTTAATCGTATATTCGATATATCGAGTTATTCATGTAATTATATGTGAGTTTATTTTTTTATGTTTCATGGACTGACGTTTGACCACTATCTCGCCTGATGGTATGCGATGATGCGGTCTACGATGGAGCACGTAGTCTTATAAGCAACCTATTCACTCGAGCCTTGAAGACTCTCAGGTTATATACCCTCCAGGAAATACAGACTCTGGCAAAGAATTCCACTCTTTAGCAGTACGCACATGGGAGCTTGATGCGAAGCGCCGATTGTCTTGTGGTACCATTTTTTATTTTTGTTAAATGCAGCAGACTTGTACGCGGGCTGTCCAGTGACTGCCCCGTTTATATTTACAACCTCCTAGATGAGGTTTTGAGGAATCCTTCTCTTTAGTCTTCTAGCGACTGTTTGGGTGTCCATCAGGTTTACTGCTAGCTTGTTTGGATGGCTCGTGATTCGGTCTTTGTACACTTTAGTCATTTTTGAAATTTCTTCCATTACAGTAGGTACTGATGCAGAGGTCGTGGTGGAACCATGATGGAAAATTTTAAATTGTGGAGTTTTCATACGAGAAAAGTAAAACGTTTAAAATCATTGAAATAATTCTGATATTAAGGAACCATTACACAGCAGTTATATAATGTTATCCCACATTGTGTAACATGATAACATTTAAAATAGTGTATAACATACTCTACAACATGTCAAGTTACAATTACAACTTTTGTTGTAATTTGGTTATAAACAAATTTTAAGTCAGTCTCTAACGTTATAGAGGTATAATTGCTGTGTGGAGGCACCTTTACACTGTTTCCTTGAATTGGTTACACTTGCCAGCTAGTCAGATTGAATACTTTTTTCGAACTGTCAAAAACGACTGTTTTATATTAATTTTGTACGAGATTGAGAATTGTGACGTCACGTTTTTTTTTATCGTCAAACAAGTATGTAAGTAAGTAAGTATGTACTTATATCGTAAAAGTTTGCTGGAAAAACACTCAAATTTATTTGGTCATAAAATCAATTAGTAAATGTGATTATTTTTTAATATTTTATTCTATTAAACAGTCGAAATAATTTATTTTTCATTGAATTTAAAACATTATAGATGTAAGTAAAACTTTAGATATACTTTTGAGAAAGTTACAAGGCAAAGTCTATTAAGAAATCAAGACAAGATTCCCAGTGAATTCATTATTTTATAAGTTCGCGAGCTGAGTATATAATTTGAACATAAAAGATACACGTGTCGGGAACGATTAAATTAATTAAGAACTTCTCTTGAGCAATAAATGAATAATACAACGTCAAGTGTGAACTAATTTCAGATTCCAATCATTTAGACGAGATGAAGCGTGCTTCAATTCGAGTTTATTACGATTCGTCTTCGCTTACATCGGTTCAGAATATTTGGGAATTGAAACAGCATAACAAACTACCCCAATTTATCAATTTCTTTGTTGGATTTACAACCTTATTGCAACAGGATAGCGTTGAGATCTATTAAAGAGATTGTGGTAACTTGATCTGCTGGTGTATGTACCTTCATTCTACTTCAAGGTTCATGAGGTATTACAGCTACGTATATTAATAAAGTATCTACATATACATAATTCAAGACGTATGTGTTACATACTATAATTTAAAATGTGATTACTTTGAAAATATGGATTTTAGATACAAAGAGCCAGTATATAGATATACGTAGGTATTTGTACCTTTAGGAAAAAGCCTCCAATAACTTTTTTCAGTAACTAAATTAATAACATTACATAACATCACGCCTTTTATCCCCGAAAGGGTAGGCAGAGATGCCCATTACGGCACTTAAAGCTACTGTACAATGTAACATCCATGTTCACTATTTATGTTATGAATCCCATGTAATAGGGGGTGAGCCTATTGTCATATACCGGGGCCTTGCCCGACAGTCGCACTTGCGACCACTCGGCCAACGAGGCAGTCTATTTCGGTAAAAGTTTTTACCTAATTGAACTGCCGAAGTTTTATGTTTCTTTCATTGCACCCGATAAGCCTTAGTTTTCCAATTCGGAGAGTCGATAAGCCGATAAGCAACAGGAAAATTAGGCTCTGAAAGGATCTTGTGTCTCAGTAAGTAGATATCGTGAATGGAGATAAAGAAAAATGTCGTTCATTATTTTTGTTCATTTACAAAGAGCTTAATATTATTGAATGTGATTTTCATGTTAACTAAAGACAGTTATTAAGATATACTTATAAATTATTATTGATAAAAATATAGGAGAGTTGGTCAAATTGAGCAATTAAACCTGCGAATTGATATTTTGAGGAACAGTCTTTTTTTCGGAATAGCAGGCAAACGAGCCGAATGACGAGAATCACCACACAAGACAAACACCAACAACACCAGAGGAGTCACAGGTGCGTTACCGGCCTTTTGAAAAGTTTGAAGGTCAAATCGGTTCGAAAATACCGCCGTCAATACATAATTTAACAATTTAGCTGTGCGAGGTTGAAAGTGACTTTTCCTATTTTTCCAGAAGGTATAAAAACTTTTCATTTGAACAGCTACACTAGTTCAAGCGTGGTATTACTGTTTTGTAAATTTTTACCGGCCTAAATGGAAGTTATTAAGGCAGGCTGTTTTACCCATAGACGTTTTAATTATCTTTCCTCTTGAACTACAGATTTGTTTATTTATGTAGGTATATTATGTATTTATGGGTTATTTGTAATATTGTATTTATTTCATTTATTTTATTTATCAATATTGTTCAAACAAACAAACAAAAAAACAAACTCTTCCGCTTTATATAATACATAGTATAAGATGTAGGGATTTCATTGAAGACATGTCGTTCTTTTAATGTTTTTTGTTGTTATTTGTTTTGTTTTTTTTATTTATTTGTGTAATATACTGTGTCACGGTGTCTTTATTTCTTTTCCTGCCAAAGGTCCACAGGAAGAAATTCCACTTGGAATATGTGGGACTTAGGTACTTTGTTTTTATATACCTATGTGTTGTCCTTTGTGTTGTATGTGTGTACATAATAAATAAATAATTAAATAAAGATAATGATGATGTCATTAATTAAATAAAATGTTCAGTGCTAATTATCTACTGAATAGACAACACTAAATGAAATAATTCCTCTCCAAATAGTGTGCGTTTTATGACGGAAAACAGTACTAAGACAAGTTTATCTAATGGTCCATTACAGCATCATCAAACGTTATCTTGGCTATATAATAACACATTTCGAGTAATGTCCTAAGTTGTTCTAATTTCCCTCACTCTTTAGAACAACTATACTAAAAAGCTAATTAGATAGCATCCGAACTAACTAGGTACTTGGGAACATTAATTGCTATACAATCAAAGTATAATTACTTCAGTAATAGATCGCAGTCGAAATTAGTCCTTTGTGTATAACTGTAGAAAGTCCTTTATTGCATGAAGTTCCTATCACAACTGGTTATAAGGGGTAATTTTAATTATGTGCCTGCTACTGAGTAAGCGGTTTCTGTTTTGAGTAGCCAGCTCGGTGGAACAATTTTAGGAATCTTACTAATATTATAAACGTTAATGTTTGTGTGTTTGTGTGTATGTTTGTTACTCAATCACGTTAAAAAGCTAAGTGTGGGAGAGCCATGCTTCAGCACGAATGGGCCTGCTCGACCGGAGTGATACCACGGTCTCACAGAAAACCGACGTGAAGCAACGCTTGCGTTGTGTTTCGTCGTGTGAGTGAGGTTACCGGAGGCCCAATTACTTTCCCTTTCCCCAATCTCCCCAATCCCTGAATTCCCAACGATCCTCAAAAGGCCGGTAACGCACTTGTAACGCCTCCGGTGTTCCAGGTGTCCATGGGCGACGCCAATTGCTTACCATCAGGTGATCCGTCTGCTCGTTTACCGGCTTATGCCATAAATAAACAGGGATATATTATCGTCTAGAAGAACATAGGCTACTTTTTATTCCATAGGTACGTGGGCGAGGGTGCAAGCTAGTTTTATATATCTTACTAGCGAGCCGCCCCGGTTTCGCACGGGTGCAATATGCATGTATTATACATATAAACCTTCTTTAAACTGTCAAATACCAAGCGGTCACCGGTGACCGCGACCTATTGTTCTTTAATTATGTCTATAAAACCGGTACTCGACGAGTTAAGAATCACTTTATCTATCAAAAAATCCGCATCAAAATCTGTTGCATAGTTTTAAAGACTTAAGCATACGTAGGGATAGACAGACGGTGGATAGCGACTTTGTTTTATGCTATAGTGATACATATTTTTAGAGGTAATATAAAACCTCTAGGAGTCTAAAAGATTATTCTTTGTAATGCTATAGATATAGTTTCTACTGGAATAGTTTTTTTTATACTTGATAGGTCGACGCCACCATCTCGCCTGGTGGTAAGCGATGAAGCACAAACCTATGAGCAACCTGTTCACTCGGGACTTTATACATAACATCACGCCTTTTATCCCCGAAGGGGTAGGCAGAGGTGCACATTAAGTCACTTAATTCTACTGTACAATGTAAGACCCACTTTTCACTATTTATGTTATGAGTCCCATGTAATAGGGGGTGAGCCTATTGCCATATACCGGGCACAATTCCTGACTCCGTGCTACCACTGAGAATTTATAAAAAATCCAGTAATACTTTGGAATCGAACCCGAGGCCCCTTGCCCGGCAGTCGCACTTGCGACCACTCGGCCAACGAGGCACGAGGACTTTATACGGAAGCTATGTTAAAGATGCCACGTTTAATATGTCGTTTGATGTTCAAGTGAGAACGTACTATAGTTAAAGATGATGGTAATGGTGATGATGCTGACGTTTAATATTCCGTGCACGTCTTCTTAACCCTCAATAGGGTAGATGCCTAATTTTTATTTTAATGTCCGTCTGGTAGACTATTTTAAATCATTCGACACGTATTTTTTATTTTCTTACAAAAACGAATACTTTCGACGATATATTGATTTGAAATGTCGCGTGACGTCACTTCTATGTACATTTTATACGTAGAAATGACGTTTTAGCCCCACTCTTAAACTTTGATTCATTTTATCTAAGTGTTATTTTATTATACAACAAAATAAAAAAATACGTGTCTAATATTTTTTCATTAACTTATGGACTAATTAGATTTTTAATTTTCATACCCTGTCATCATGCCTATTACGCCTTATCTAGTTATACTAAGTTGAAAGTTCTCACCGTCTTTATCGATCATGTATCCATTAGTTTCCTCAAGCCTCAATGGCTCTCCGATGTGGTATTGCAGAAGTTTCAGCTCCGGGTTAATAGTGACACCGGCTTCGCTCCAACGAAACCGCACTTTTTGATTACTGTATGAGACTGAGAAGAGAGAGTGAAATTAGATTAGTTCCTTATATGGGATCAGAATTACTGACTAGAATAAGATTTAGGGTTGATGAGGTAGGTCATGGACAGTAGTTAATATAAAATGTTTCGATTCTGAAATTCACAGTTAAGGTCACACAATTTACAAGCACGGCTCCGACACGACTCCGATACGGCGTGTTTTGCTTTAGAAACAATTTGAAAAAAGTTGTAAGTGCTCCGATATTGATGTAATGAAATATATCAACATCATCATCATCATCAACAGCCATCATAAGTGCCCACTGCTGAGCAAAGCCTCTTTTCACACGGAGAAGGTTTGAGCATTAATCACCACGCTTGCTCAATCCGGGTGTGCGATTACAAATTTATAATTAGAAATTATAAGCCCAGGTTACCTCGCGATTTTTCCTTCACCTTTTGTCAGTGGTGTCTAGATAATCTTAGAAAGTACATATAACTCGGAAAAAGTCACATCGGTACTTGCCGTTGGTAGGTTTCGAACCTGTACCCTCATGCATGAGAAGCGATTTTTAACGAAACGAAATATATCATACGACACACGATTTCAAGTCCATACTTAAATGATAAGTTAATTGGTGGTGAGCAAGCTATGTAGTATATAATATGTCCTTTAGTAGCATGGAGTCGGATGAATATTTCTGTGATGTGTCTATCGGGAATACTCTAGATACCATATCAAAGGCTTTATTTTCGAATCTATTTATGGAACAGACAGGCCTTCTATAGCTGCTCATAAAATTCTATTGCCAAAAACAACTGTCGTTTCCGGGAACGGGGAAGGGTAATGAGTACATTATCATGCGGCATTGTGAAGTTTTGTAAACCATTCAAGTTTAAATATAATACTATTAACAACTAAAACGTTACTTTATCTTAAAAGGAGAAAAAAAATGTATGCAATAATACTAACAGCTTTCAATGTAAATGGGACACGACTGTATGTCCATGGGATAAAGTTGAAATTCCATTTGGCAGGCGATGATCGCGTGCATCCTGGCTGAATACCGCACGGTTTGGTTTCTGTACAGCGTCACTGAAGAAAACTTGTGAGTTAGTTCTGCGATTTCTGGAAAAAGAAAATGGAAGTATTTTAGAAGAATTTCAAAATAATGAGGATAAGAAAGTACTGTAGTCTGCTGAGTATATAAATCGAGTGTATATTTATGTTACATTTATTTGATTTATTACGCTTGATTATTTTTCTAATTGTTTTTTATTATGGCATGTGCATTATGTGTAGTTCTTGAAAAAAGAAAGTATTAAAATACAATCAAGGGTTGCAATAAAGTACGTGATTGTATCGTAAATATTGCGTTAAAATAATTGACCAGTAAGATACAAAATACTTTTCAGCCTACCCTATTAAAATAATAATAGTTTAATAAATTATGATGTTTATGACTATATGTAAAGACAATCATGTGAAGAAATTTCTTAGCAGTTGTAACCTATTTAATATTTTTAATTTCAGTGCTACAAACAAATGAATTAACTGATGACTAGAACATCGATCCTTTAACTAGCATTTATTGTATATATATAATTATATGAATATCAACGATTTCGGAAACAGCTCCAACGAAATTTTGTAATCAACAGGTTCCGGGGGCAATGAATCAATCTATACTCCGTCTGTTTAGGTAGTTAACTATTTGTAAACAAACCATAAAAAGAGTTCTTTATAGTTGACATTTCCATGATTCAAAATACTTCATAAGAAAATAAAGTTGTTTCCCTTTTTACGACAGTTTTCTCTATTAAATGTTATGTTTCTGTCCCTTTTCACTTATTTCTTAGTAAATATTATATATATCTGCTTGAGGATATTAATTTAATAACATTTATTAAATAGTATAACATTTCATTACAATAGACACCATAAAGAGCCTAAAATCCCAGGTATCCAAAACTTTTCTTTAAGAACGAAGCCAAATAATGTTGTCAAATTAAAGAGTACAACTAAGATGTAGCGCGACAATGAAAGTAGCGTGTATTACGTTTAGTCGGTTAATCAGGCGCCATTGACAGCTCTCTCGTCGTTTGCGCTCGCGTTCCTATTTTGTTGAATTTATCTTGTTTCTTTGTTTTGTTTTTGTTATTAAGTTATTCAAGTTTAGGTTATTCATCGTTTGTAATTAATGTGTTCAAATATATTGAAGAAACTTGGCCCAAAGACACATATCCCTACAAGAAAGAAATCCGTACATCAGATTCAGAATAGTTTCTATTTAAACATGATAATGAAATAGACCCATAGGCAAGGCTCTTGTACGATTTAGGCATTTGCAGTTGTATATGTGTGTATGACAAATGAACGAGTTTAAAGTGAATTTAGTTAAAATTAAAACACGAGAAATATTTGAAGTAATAGTAGGTTAAGTATCTCTGTGTCACGTGGTTTTCTTTGTTTACCTTTAGTTAATTACCTAAACAGATGGACTATAGAATGGGTTCGCTCTTAAAAATAGTCGTTCATAAAAAAAACACCGGTCAAAGCTCGGTCATTGTAGCTACTTACGAAAATACACAAAACTGTACTTCAATAGTCTTTCAAATTGACTATACTTTAAACTGTGTAGTGTATACTTTATCACTGTTATTAACATTGTCTAGACAATTTTCCGACAAAATTACTTATTTGAGTTTCGTTAACTCAAACTGAACTTTATAAGAACTTATTCAATGTTTCATTGTCTACACAAACACAATAGGGGAATGAAGTTGTTGTGATATGAACCGTGTCTACATTATTTCAAAATATATTGTTCAGTACAAGTTTTGTATATAGTCTTAAATGTTCCACAATACAGCACCACGTGTTAAATTCCCTGAAGTAAGCAGAAGTTTTGTGTTTTATGCGGTAATTATGTTGTCAGTCCTATGATAAGTGATGTTACAAGCTACAAACCGTACGATTAGCTGTTACGTTTGACATAAGGATAGGTACTCGATCAAGAAAGCAATGTAAAATTTATTAAGAGATTTTTTATAGAAACTTAACCCCATTGCACATTTAAGCACGGCTCCAACCCAGCTATTAATTTGTCATTTAAATATGAACTTTAAATTGTATGACATTGTAATATATATATATTACACAAAGTCAATATAAAAAGCCGATGCCGGGTGGTCAGCGCGCGGTCCTCTTGAGTTGTAATTGACGCACCGGAGCCATGCTTTAGTTAGATACTAATAAAGCCGCAGATTTAGCAGCTTCATTGATAAACTTAATAAATTGACCTTACGTTTTTTTCATGGGAGGAAAATCATCGAATGATTGCTTAAAAAAGAAACTATTTTTTTGATCGTTTGGCCTGACGTCTAACGATCTCGTTAGATAAATTATTGTTTACACTTGGAAACATCACTATACGGCCTCTCAAATCGTCTCAAACAATTTGTATTTATATTTATATTTATTAAAGTATAAATAAATACTTATCTTCGACAGAAAACAAACATCGAAATATTTCTAAAGATATGGTTCAATGTCAGGGCTATAAAAAGAGCTCAGAGGAAAATAGAGTTAATGTAAACCGGGAAATTAAATTTCCTTTCAACATCTACATTTGTTAGATAAATATTTCGTTAAGGAAGATACTTCAGTCAAATCTAATTATAAAGGAGAAATATTTTAGAAGTAATATTTCGGATATAGAAAGGAGTTGCAAGTAATTAGAAATAATGAAGGATTACGGAAATAAATCTGAATTGTTGTTAACGGTTCAATATTGGTTAATTGTAAAGTTGTTTCTTGTAGCTGTGTTTTAAGTGTGGGAGTGCCACGCTTCGGCACGAATAGGCCGGCTCGACCGGAATGATAACACGGCCTTACAGAAGACCGACGTGAAATAATGCTTGCGTTCTGTTTAGTCGTTTTAGGTTACCGGAGGCCCAATCACCCCCCCCCCCCTCCCCTTCTCCAACCCCTGAAGCCCCAACAATCCTCAAATTCCTAGGCCGGTAACGCACTTGTAACGCCACTGGTGTTCATCCACGGGCGTCGCCGATTGCTTACCATCAAGTGATCCGTCTGCTCGTTTACTGGGTCATCCCATAAAAATGCTAATTAATGAATATGCTTATTTGCAAACATGATTACTGAAGTGACATGTCTTGTGTATATTTGTGTGTACAAACTCACAAATTTCCACATTTATAATAGCCGTTCAAGCTGACTGCGACCATAGGCACTACAGGACTGAGCCGCAAAATTAGGTGTGTCTTCTAGTGTATATTATCCTTTTTCGGGATAAAAAGTGTGATTCCCAGGATATTAAAGCATAACCATACCAAGTTTTATCGTAATCAGACTGGTAGTAGGTGATTATGTATGATGTCTATTAGTATCGAGAGTGTGCCCTTTCTAAGGTATACCATTCATCATTAATTCAATGCTAATTTACAACTGTTTATTTAGGTACGTCATAATAGTATAGTAAGGTACGTATTATGTACAATATTGTACAATTAGTCAAAAAAAATAATGATTACACAAAACTGCCATCACAACAAACATAATAAGAATTAATAATTTCAATATACTTAATTAATAATCAATTTCAGTATATCAATCATTGCTTCGTGTAAATAAACAGTGCTTAAATATTAATTACATAACAAAAATTTTCAATCGGAACTCTCGTGATTATGGATGCGTGAAAACGTATTATAAACGTAATTTCGTGTGATTAGCAAGCTCACAATATATTAGTGGATATATAATAGTGTTTATATAATAGTGCTCAAACCGAGTGTTCACCAAAGCTGCCCTAGGTTCACAAAACCTATGTCCAAATACTCAAATGATACTCAATTCTAAGTCGCGTTTAAGTACAGTTCACTACAAAATCTTTGTAAAATGACAGAAATGGTATGATATTTCATAACATGACATACTATAAAAAGAAGAATGAACCAAGAAGAAAGAAAAACAGTTTATTTGCACCATTACAGAAAAGCGAAAAGAAATAGGAAAAAAAACCACAGTGTACACGGTGCAAAAAGGCCAATGCTCAGCTAATATGGCTCGAGTCGCGGCGCTGATTTTCAGCTCTTGCCTGTTGCCAAAATCTTAAATAAATTAATAGAATATATAATAATAATGAAACAGAATAGAAACGAACGAATCGAACCCGAGACCCCCTTGCCCGGCCGTCGCACTTGCGACCACTCGGCCAACGAGGCAGCATGATACTGTATTATAACTTAAAATTGAGTAACCATTCAGTATTCGAGGGTTAGTGTTAAAACTTTGTGACCGTCATTAAACTCCATATCTACTCTTAAGATAAGGCAAAATTACGTGTTGACGTGAAATTTCATCACTAAAAGCTTAACTACAAAACCTCAGTAGCGACGCGCTATAACAGGTTTTAATACTTTATCATTAATTTTTTTTTTAAACAAAAAGTTATGAACACTATTTTGAACTACAAATAGTAATTGTTTTGTGTAAAAACAAAACTTAATTTATTTTACAAGAGAAATATTCACTGTTTACTAAAACTTTTCATGAAGGTCAAACGTTTAATTCAAAAGTTTCTTTAATAAAATTGACGAAGATAAGTAAGTTGTAAATATGAAGATAAGGAAAAAAACATGCTAAAAAGATTTAACCTGAACAAAATGAAATTACAAAACTTTAGGGTGCCAACGTTTTTTTCTAAGAAATAAATAATTTTATTCAAATGTTTTAAATACTTTGCTCTCGTTTTTTTCATGCAATGTGTTAATAATATATTTGAATCTAAAATATACAAGCTTGCTGGTATTCTCAAGCAAGTTTTTTGCATGTGAAAACTCAGAGTGAACGAAAGCATTTAATCTTTTGCAAAGTGTTAGAAAAGCCTGTTGTACATTTGAAATCAAACAATAGAAGAACTGGCAGAATACCCATTTTTTTTTTAATTTAGCCGTGGTTCAATTGTAAAATGTTTTAGTGCAAAAATGTCTTGAATTTTAACGCCTTGTAATGGCTTTGAAAACAGTTCCACACTAATGGTTGGAACGTTTCACGACAAAATGTCGACACACGTTGATACATTTTTGGAAAGCCATAAAGGAGATATGTTCTGATTGAAATTTAAATTGACAAATGCCTTTATAAAGGTTATAAGGTCAGATGAACAATAATTTGAGATACATCGTAAATTGCCTCGTTGGCCGAGTGGTCGCAAGTGTGACTGCCGGGCAGGGGGTTTCGGGTTCGATTCCCGGGTAAAAAAATTCAGTAATACCACGGAGTCTGGAATTGTGCCCGATATATGACAATAGGCTCAATTCCCTCTTACATGAGACTCAAAAAATAAATTATGAAAATTAGGTGTTACATTGTACATACATGTGGTACATGGTGGCATTAACTGCCATACTGCGCACTTCGGTCTATCCCTTGGCGTAATATCATGTTATGCATCGCAAAAATGTTAATAATAAAGTTTTCTAAAGGTGTAGCGTTGACAACGAAAAGAAGATCGATAAATTCCCAATCTATTTGTTAAAGGTTGTATAAAACAAGATAAACTGCTTTTACAAAATTCAAGTTTTCAATGTACAACAGGCTTTCGTGAGATAAGGAGCTTTTATTAAAGCTTTAATATTACAATATTACCAGGAGATCGAGGTTTGTAATGCATTGCTCCTCCTAAAAAGCAAAACTTTGTTAGACTTAAGTATCAGCGTTCGGTTAAAATTTACAAGATCAAATTAAGAAAAGATGTTAGTTAAAATTTATTAATTTTTAATATAGCTTAGGTGAACAAACAGTAGATGAGCAATCTTAAAAATCATTAAATAGAAAAGAAAAAAAAATACATCTTAAAGTATTAAGATCGTTTATAGTTGCATTAATGTTGATAGGTACATATTAACAATGTACATTATAACTATAAGAGATTTAATATGACTCGCTCTTAATGTATTAATATTACATTTGGATTTTTTACTTCATGATGACAAAAGGAGATATTAGTAAATTATAAAACTTGATTACAAAATTAAATGTTTTCCTAAAATATTTTTTGACAAGAACTGGACTTGGTCTCATCTATTACATTAAGTCCCAGTTGATTATTTTTATTTTCAAAAATGAATTCGATAAAATAATATGTGATCAATATTATTAACACTTACTTTTGATGCCAGCTGTACAATAAAAATGAATTTATAGCTATATTAATTACTTCTAAACGTAATGAAATTAACGACTTTATTTTAATATTCAATTTGACATGCAATTATCAAAACTTTTTGAATAACCTATATTATTTTGGTTTAATAGACAATATCATTAGACATTATAACATATTTTTTTTATATAATTAACAATGCCATTGTAACAATTACCTGTGACCTTGGAGTTCAAAAAGTAAGGGTCTGGATGCCAGAGGTTGTCAAAGAATTCTGGCGGTAAGGTTACGTGGTCATCGCCTTCCTCGAAGATGTCTTCTGGTAGCTGCAGTCGACTTTCACTCCAAGTCTGCCTTATGAACATGTCCACTCTGAAACCAATGAGATAAAATGTCATTAAAGTCATTAAGCCATTCACTATACCTAGTCTTTTGGTGGTCGTACAAGGCAAGAGGCAATTTTGCTCTAAATGTGTGACTAAAACCGAAAATGTATTTAAATAGATGTTAATTGTCAAACTAATCCTAGACTCTATATATCATGTATATGCATGTTCTGAATAAAGGCTTATTTTTATATTATAACTTTCGTGAGACATACTAAATTAATTATTATGTATTTTAGCTTACTCACGTAATTATTTGACGAGAAATGCTGCTCATGAAAACGAGCCTCTAGCATGGCTTAAAACTAGTCAAGTTCCTTGTCAAGTAATTACATGAGTAAACCGAAAAATATAATTATTAAAGGCTTATTATTATTCATTATTAGAGGTTAGCTTTTTCTTGAAATGCTTTGACAATAATATTTATCATGATAGTTGATATTATGAAGGTGGTTAACGCAGCTACTTTATACAACTAGTCTGCTAGATCTTGGTAATTTGAATCCAAATCTAAATAACAATATAATAGAAATAAATCGTTTATTCAAAACAAAGAAGAAGTACACATTCCAATATCACGACACTTATCTAGAATTCATGAAGACATTTAGCATATAATTATGTTAACAATAACTATAATAAGAAACGATACATACAAGTACCTGGGTATGTCAGAAGGATTAGGCATTAATGGACCGGACATGAAGCAATCGTTACAGGAGCGCTTCTTTGGCCGCCTGAATAAGGTACTGAAAAGTTCCTTATCAGGCGGAAACAAGGTGCGAGCCTTTAACGGTTGGGTCATGCCAGTCCTAATGTATTCTTTTGGTATACTCAAGTGGACACAGACTGAACTTGACACCCTGGATAGACGAGTCCGGACCCTGCTGACTGCAAATCGCATGCATCACCCTCGTTCGTCGGTCATGAGGTTGTACATCCCACGGAAGTGTGGTGGTCGAGGCTTATTAAATGCTAAGACCCTTCACAACCGTGAGGTGTGCAGCCTCAGGGAATATTTCCTGAAAATCAACGAGGGTATGCATCGAGAAGTAGCAGCGGTGGACAATGGATTCACTCCACTATCCTTGGCAAAAGAGAACTGGCGCAAACCTGTGGTACTGAGCGTCAATGATCGCAAGGAGGTATGGCATAGCAAGGAGCTCCACGGACGCTTCTTCCGGGCCCTTCATGGGCCCAGTGTAGATTTTCTAGCGTCCGTGTCTTGGCTACGATTCAGTAATCTCTTTGGAGAAACTGAAGGATTTGTCTGTGCAATTATGGACGAAGTTATCCTTACGAATAACTACCGGAAATATATAATTAAGGATGGGACGGTTGACATATGTCGGGCATGTCATAGTCCTGGTGAATCCATTAGACATATTATTTCTGGTTGTGGTCGTTTGGCTAACAGTGAATATTTGCATAGGCATAATCAAGTAGCCAAGATTATCCATCAGCAACTTGCTTTGCACTATCGACTTGTTGAGTCTGAGGTACCGTACTACAAGTATGTGCCCGACCCAGTTCTGGAAAATGACCATATCACGTTGTACTGGGACCGGTCTATCATCACTGACAGGACTATTATAGCCAACAAACCCGATATAGTGGTGATAGACCGACAACTGCGCCGCACGATGATAATCGATATCACTATTCCTCATGATGAGAACCTCGTGAAAGCTGAAAAAGATAAACAAATCAAATATCTTGATTTGGCTCACGAGGTTGTCGACATGTGGAATGTAGATTCGGCTATCATTGTGCCGATAGTCGTATCGGCCAATGGGTTAATACCTAATAGCCTCGACAACCACCTTCGGAGGCTAGCGTTAGGTAGTTGGGTCAAGGGCCTGATACAGAAGGCAGTGCTCCTTGAAACGGCACGTATCGTGAGGAGGTTTCTGTCTCTGGAGCCCTAACCACCGGTAGCTTGGACCATGCTCCCGCTACTGGTCGGCTCCTATTTTTTATATTTTTAAATATTATTTTTATGTTTTTTTAAATAGTATTTAAAAATGTATTTTATAGAGAATTTAAAATAAATATATGGAAATTTAAAACTATAATAATAATAAATCGTTTGTTCAAAACAAAGAAGTACACATTACAATGTTACGATTATATTCATGAAGACATTTATTTATATAATTATGTTCAATGACCCCCGTGCTAGGAAAGCCTGTGTTAAAAGGGTCATCCTACCGTCCACTTTGTTGATAAGTACATATAAAAATTGTAACATGCATATAAATAGAGAAAACTGAGACATAATCGAGGTAAATTGGTTAAACCAAGTAAGCAACTGTTGATACAAGATTATGTACGATCGCACATCAGTCCTGCTATTACGCTTTTTCGCTATATAAATCCTTATTTTGCGCCTACATAAACCCGTGATTTTATTTCACTTTCAGCAGATTCAGCTGTAACTAGATCGCTTTCAGGGAAAGGGAAACAAGAAACCTAGTTACCAACGTTTGTATCATGTGGCCGTAATTAGGCGTATGTAAGCCTAATGCCAGTTTGGGTTGGTACGTGCAATCTATGTTTTGAACGTAAATACGGCCAAAGTTCTGTGAATATTCGCTATTTGGGATCACAAAGCAAAAAACTGTGTTTGGCCGAGCGACTGGTAACTGTGTTTGTTTGGGAGTTTTTTGAATAAATATTTGTACGATGTGCAGATTGTCTGAATTCATTTGAATATGCGCATTTCATTGAGAATTCAGGAGCAGGTTTTAAATGTGACAGAGCCATATTTCAGCACGAATGGGTCGGCTCGACCGGAATGATACCACGGCCTCACAGAAAAACGGCTTGAAACAACGCTTGCGTTATGTATTCGTCATGTGAGTGAGGTTAGAGGAGGCCCAATATCCCCCCCCCTCCCGCCCCACATCCCAATCTCCCCAATCCCTGAATCCCCAGTAATCCTCAAATTCCTAATCCCCAAAATGCTGGTAACGCACTTGTAACACCTCTGTTGTTCCAGGCGTTTCTGGATGACACCGATTTTTTAACATCAGGTGATCCGTCTGCTCATTTACCGGTTTATCCCATAAAAACATTTTTTATGAATCAAGTTTACAAATCAATTCAAAATAATAAGAATCTAAGTATATCAGAACTGTAAGTTTTTTATCTCTGAAAAACTTCACAAGATGTATTGTAAGTATTATAAGATAAATTGCGTTTAAAGCTACAGTTTTATAAACAAATGATATCTAAGTAATTTACAACTACAGGTAAACTGAAGGTCGATCAGCCGATTCGATAAAAGTAGAAGGTACCATTATTATGGATTACCTAATGGTAATCGACCGGATCGAATGTAACCGACATATGGGGTCAGAGTTGACAAATTATTTGTTCTTCAACCTTGGATAATGTATGACGACGTTATTTATGTAATGATATAATATCGAGCCTCAATTCCTTGATGAAATTATTGAGTATCAATATTTAAATTGATGGAAAGTACTCAGTTTACTTTAGTGCCACGTGGCAATGTAAAGACGCATGTTGACGTAGATTATATTCACATCAACAGATTATAATTAGCCACTGCTGCCCAGAAGCTACTACAGACATGGAGAAGGTTTTAGCATTAATCGCCATGATTCCTCAAAGCGCAACTGACTACACTGCACTAGGCAAATATTTTTTAAGTGTGCAAGAGCCATGCTTCAGCATAAATGAGCCGGCTCGACTGGAGTGATATCACGGCCTCACAAAACACCGACGTGAAAGTAAGCGTTGGTTTCACGTCGGTTTTCTGTTATTGTCCCCAACAATCCTCAAATTCGTAATCCCCAAAAGGCCGGTAACGCACATGTAACGCCTCTCGTGTTCCAGGTTTCCATAGGCGACACCGATTGCTTACAATCAGGTGATCCGACTGCTTGTTTACTGGCTTATCCCATAAAAAGTAACCGGTTATGTTATCAGTCAAATATAAGCATACAGTAGTTGCTGATTAATTCTTAAAACGGCCAATAATATTCTAGCCAAAACGCGAATTGAACCCGAAATAAAGAATCGCAGTTAGCAGTAACGTGGCATCAAATGGCCATTTAAATTTAACATGTTTCTTAGACCACGGGGCCTCTCAGTGCTAACAACTGCTACCTGTCAAAAAGGAAATTGCCATGATCACACGTTAAGCTGCCGGATTTGTGACCGCTCAGTTCAATTCTGTAATGGAGGCAGGAAGTATAATGGACTACTATCAACATTTTTGACTGTTTTTTTTATCTGGAGACGTGTTGATGAACAGTTAAAAGGATGTTCTAATAGTTTAATTTTTGCTAAGATATTTTTTTAATGGTCTAAAATAAGTTCGAGATTAGCAGATAAACGGAACCAATGCGTTTCTTTTAACTTCATTTTATTATTAAAGTTAAGGACCTTTTTTAAATTGGTTAACGTTTTTTTAAACTCCCTTTCCCAAACAACATAACATAACATCACACCTTTTTATCCCAGTAGGAGTAGGAAGTAACACCCATTTTTCACTATTTATGTTATGCGTCCTATGTAATAGGGGGTGAGCCTATTGTCATATACCGGGCACATTTCCAGTCTCCGTGCTACTACTGAGATTTTTTTTTAAATATGCAGTAAGTCTTTTTGTCCGACCCGGGAATCGAACCCGGGAATCGAACCCGAGACCCTTTGCTCGGCAGTCGCACTTGCGACCACTCAGCCAACGAGGCAGTTTCCCAAACAATTAATGAAATAAATGAAATAAAGTGTAACGGGTAAAAGTGAGCGGTTTTTTTTCTCAAAATCAAATAAAACCTTTTCTAAACAATTAGGTCTTCTCAAGGAAACATAATCAAAGTGCAAAATTTAATGTGGGCATCCTGTAGGAACTTGCACAAATTGCTACAAAACTCACCTGAAATCCATATCCTCAACATTGATGGAGTTGACGTCTACCACGTAGATGCTGAACTCCACAATAACCGGCTGGCCTTTACGCGCCGGTGGCCGCATTTCTAACAAAAACAAAACAGGAAAATTACTTATTATGAAGTTCTTCCCAAAAAGGGGTCAAAGAGTAAACACGCCTTATTTTCGACAGTTATGTATTAAGCCGTTCTATTATAATAAGGCACTCTGTTGCATAAATTAGATGTTTATAGGGACGTTGAGATACATCTAAAGTATTCTTTATTAATAAAGTATTTTTATTTGTCTTAGAAATCATGATCTATAAAAATTGCATAACATGCCTTTTGTCCTCAACATTATGCCACTGTACAATGTAACACCCACTTTTCACTATTTATGTTATGAGTCCCATGTAATAGGGGGTGAGCCTATTGCCATAAACCGGGCACAATTCCAGACTCCGAGTCACTACTGAGATTTTTCAAAAAACCCAGTAGTATTTTGCTCGACCCGGGAATCGAACCTGAGCGGCAGACTGACACTACCGGAGAGACGTCAAGCGCAAACCTTACGGCTTTACGTGCCTTCCGAGGCATGGGGGTGAAACAACGCCGAACTTCCTGACTCTGGGCTAATAATGGTCAGTTTACTCAGAAAATGCCATAATCACTTTTTGGCCGGCGCGAGAGTCGAACCGGCGACACGTTGCACAACAGCCGGTAACCCAACCACTGCTCCAACCGTGCTGTCTATATGCGCTGCCGCGTCGCTGCCCGCAAATTTCGAGGCAGCGGCGTAAGTAAAACCACAGTTGTGTTTTGTTAATTTAATCAACAAAGTAAATATTATATCCGAAATATTAAGAGTACATGAGTTCCTACTTATATTCTCAACATAGCTTAGTAAAATTTTGCTCATTTCATTCAAGGACATGGATTTAAATCCCAACAGATTTCCTTGACATTTTACTGTGTCGAAGCCAAACCAATATCATAACTTTTAACTAAACAAATTAATAAATTAAATACGCTAAATATATGATTACAGCTTAATTATAAAACAGCACTTAAAAGAGGTCGATATTAAGGAGCTTAATTTTTTTTAACAAAAGGTTAAAGTGGATTTTCATTTTCCCTTTTCATGTTAAATAAGCACCCTAAGTGGAGGCTTATCCACAATATATCATCTTACTAAAGAAAATTTGTTTTGAGGTAAAATACTTTTGGCTTTTTAGCCTAAATCTAGGTTAAGTCCTAAGAGTGTTAGGATTTAGAGTTTTATACTGTTGATATCAAAGTATTCAGAACTGGCTTAAAATTATTACTTGACCTGATAAGTTGTCCAGACTCAGATCTTTATTTTTAGGCGATTTTCTTTTTTTTGGTCGCTTTGAAATTTAATATTGTCGTGGAATAGTTTTTTTTTTAAGGGGGGAAAATCATCGTATGACTGCTCCCGCCTGGGTGAGGCGGAAGGGAGTGTCAGACTCTTACTGACTAAAAACCATCCCGTTCCTTCTCCTGCACGTCGAGCCGGAGCCCCGGTTACCCGTTAGGTTCTCCGCGACGTCGTGGAATAGTTACAATGAATTTTTCACGTACACATCTTCACTGCCTTGGCCGAATGGTCGCAAGTGCCACTGCTGGTCAAGGGGTCTCAGGTTCGATTCCCAGGTCTAACTAATTGTTACTAAGTTTTTAAAATTCTCAGTGGTAGCACGGAATTTGAAATTATGCCCGGTATATGGCAATAAGCTCACACCCTATGGGACTCATAACATAAATAGTAAAAAGAGGGTGTTACATTGTAAAAAGGCGTGATGTTACGACATCTTTATGTATAAGTTTAGATTCGAAACATCAAACAAACTCATTTATTCATTCAAAAAAGAGCAACGAGAATTTGCTTACGTCATTGCGCAACCGTCCAATCTAAAAAAGGATGTAGGTATATATGTATTTATGTATTAAAAAAAGTCCTTTATTTCAATATCAACCAATATGTATTTGTACTACATTTCAGTGATAATAATAATTGAAGTATAAGCAAGTGACACTTAATCAACACGTTACACTTAGTGTTGTGGTGGCCCGGAGGTTTAAGACGCCCGCTTCTCATGCACGGGGTTCGAAACCTACCAACGGCAAGTACCAATGTGACTTTTTCCGAGTTATATGTACTTGTTAAGATTATTTAGACATCACTGACAAACAGTGAAGGAAAAAATAGTGAGGGTACCTGGGCTTATAATTTCTAATTATAAGTTTGAAATCGTCAACCCGCATTGAGCAAGCGTGGTGATTAATGCTCAAACCTTCTCCGTGTGAGAAGAAGCTTTGCTCAGCAGTGGGTATTATATATAGACTGTTGAAGTGTATGTGTGTGTGTGACACTTAATTGCTTTCTGGAAGGCTTTACCCATCTCTCCATCTCCCCGATGAATTGAATCGAGTGCATTGTAAAGGGGTAACCTTAAAGGCAGCTCGTCTAGGACGAGTCTTGTAAAGCGGCACGTGGCCGTGGCTTTCATTGCACTACTGACACTGGGTAAAGCAATTGTATATATTCACATTACTTAGCGAAAGCCGTGTCAATTTTCACTTAATCTTACTTGTGTAAAGCACGAATATTCTGGTGATTTGACTTTATAATGTAACGGTTTAAAGTTAGTATTGTCTACTTTTTGAATATAGATGGATATTATTTACGTACATACATACATAACATACTGACGCGTGCATATCGCACGCTCAACCTAATTTCTAATGAAACTGAACTAGTTTTTTGGACTCTGGGTGAATTCATAAGGAGTGCATTTTATGTAATATGCTACAGATGTTAAGATGAGCACATTAAGCATTAACGTGTAATGATAATATAAAGTATAAAATAAATAAATAAAAATAAATAAAATAACCTCACGCCTGTTAAAAAGAGTAACGAATGGAGTTTCTTGCTCGTCCTTTTCCATTTGAATCTACATTTTGGAACAAGCACATAGCTTCACTGAAGGACAGCCTGACAGACTATTATTTATTTTGTATTTGTTGACGTTTCGAAAGTACCAAATTATGGTTTAACCCATTTGAAATAGATGCTTTGACTTAGGCTTTGACTTTGTTTGCTTTGGACGTAGGCAGAGAACTTCAATTGCTTCGATTCTTTAATACCTCTTTCGCTTCATCAACAGTCATCAGTGTTTTCATACCTTGTCTCTTTATGGATATTACTTTGTAGTTTATCAATAGTGGTCCAATTGCGACTGCTGGCCTTGCCCAGCTGGTCTCGGGTTCGATTCCCGTGTCGGGCAAAGTATTATTGGGCTTTTTAAAAAAAACTTAGTAGTAGCACGGAGTCTGGAATTGTGCCCGGTATATGGCAATAGGCTCACCCCCTATTACATGGGACTCATAACATAAATAGTGAAAAGTGAGTGTTACATTGTACAGTGGTATAATGTGCACCTCTGCCTACCCCTTTGAGGATAAAAGGCGTGATGTTATGTTATGTTATGTGAGTGTTACATTGGACAGTGGCATTCAATGCCGTAATGTACACCTCTGCCTACCCCTTCGAGTTATGTTTATTAATATATAAAGGTCATCAATTATACCACTACAAGAATATTAAAATATTGTCTTAATTACGAAGAAAGATTCAAAATACCTTTGACATAGTTTTCCGGCAGAACTACTCTGGGTTTCAGTGTGTGATTCCTCTTCGATGCGACATCATTGCAGAGCCTGAAATCAACGAGAAGGTTTCGGTTAATATAACTATTTATATTACCTACTTATTTACATAGTACAACTTAAGTACCTACTACTACTAACGACAAGTACCAATGTGACATTTTCCGAGTTATATATACTTTCTAAGATTATCTAGACACCACTGACAAACGGTAAAAGAAAACATCATGGGGAAATCTGGGCTTATAATTTCTAATCATGTTTAAGTTTGAAATGGCCAACCCGCATTGAGCAAGCGTGGTAATGGATGCTCAAACCTTCTCCGTGTGAGAAGAAGCCTTTGGTCAGCAGTAGCCACTGATAGGCTGTTGATGATGATGAAGGCTAAAAGTAAAACCATCACTATAAACATCAGACGTCCATGGCAATCCACTACTGCACAATGGCCTTAATCTACGTAAATATGAAAGATTTTTTTTGTTGGGAGAAGCGTGCCACAACTTCTCAACTCCTGTAAGCCAGGATCTATATTAGATACAATCATGAAAATACCAGAATGTTGAAGTCCTTTAGCGCGTCACAGGGACATGTATTACTGTTTTGGATCCCGCACCGAAATAACTTAGAAGATATTATAAGAGGACAAGAAAAAAACAATAGTTATAGTATGACAGTTTTGTATAATGTCTCCACTAGGCTTATGGAATTAATTAAAAGAATAGAATAGAATAGAATAGAATAGAATAGAATAGAATAGAATAGAATAGAATAGAATAGAATAGAATAGAATAGAATAGAATAGAATAGAATAGAATAGAATAGAATAGAATAGAATAGAATAGAATAGAATAGAATAGAATAGAATAGAATAGAATAGAATAGAATAGAATAGAATAGAATAGAATAGAATAGAATAGAATAGAATAGAATAGAACAAAGTTATGCTTAAGTAGGTACAAAAAAACATTCAAAAGAATATTGAGATAAAATAAAAACTCATTACATTGAAAAAAATATGAACTTGAGTACTTAAAATAAACAAATATAATCTTCCTATCTCTAATTAATCTTCCAACACACGTTATCTCTTTGCTTGCCCAAGAGAAAAGTGCTTTAAAATAGATTAAAGTGCACTTGAAGGTTATTCGACCTTCACTTTGGATGCATTGGGAATTGAAATACAGTTAGACGTTTCAATTTAATTCTCGTAAAACCCAAGAAATTCTAAGTAAATTGTGCGAAGGGGTTCTTACGTTCACAGCCACAAACTTAAAGACCATTGAAAATTTTCACATCATAAAATGCAGCTTAGGAACGCACAATATGGTAGGTACTACTATATAAGTTATAGTGAATAATTTACTTAACCCGTCGAGCGTCCGCGTTCCGCGTTCCGCGTAGCGAAAAAAGAAAAATGCGAATATAGAGAAATAAAATAGGTTTAAATGACTGTCATATCTAGGCCAAAGTACGGCATAATTTTACAACATAGGTACTAAAAACCGTTCCTAAAAATAAAGTCCAAGCAAGCAGCAACTACAATTCATTTCACAAAACTCTAATTTGAACAAATTCTAAACAAAAACATGCACCATAATTTATATTGAAATTTTCACTATTTTTAGACTTAATAAAAGTGGAATTTAAAGTAGTTAGTGAATTCCATTTCAGTTTTACGATTTACCTGATATATGAACTTTAACTTAGAATAAATTTTAAATGCATTTTGAACTCCATGGCACATACGAATAAGGCTTATGTAGCAAAGAATCATTCTGAACCAAAATTTTAATGAAAGATACTAAAGAAAAAAAGGGGAATAGGATTATAAACCTTATGTTTATTGCTGTAAGGCTTTTGTTTGGGAAGTGTTTGCAAGTGATGACGTCAAAGAAAATTGTTATTATGCTGACTTAGCGTGGTATATTTAAATTTAGTAGCAGAGCTCACGTGCTAGCGTGCCTAACCTATTTCAGTGTAAAACTGAAAGTTAACTGCGAACATTTCGTTGTCAAATATGTACTACAATTCTAGTGTTTATTTGAATATTTTTAGAACTCACAACTACTATATGTACTATTTATAAACTCATCCTAATTTATTTACGTGTAATGAAAACGTACACGCAAACCATATTTATTTTATAAGAAGACAAACTTTTGAAAGAAAGAAATTTATTTCATGTTAATTATATGCTCTTTTCTAGTGTAGGAGAGCCATGTATCGGCACGAATGGGCCGGCTCGACCGGAGTGATACCGCGGTCTCACATAAAACAGACGTGAAGCAACGCTTGCGTTGTGTAAGTGAGGTTACCGGAGGCCCAATTACCTCCTTCCCCAATCTTCCGAATCCCTCAATACCGAACGATCCTCAAACTCCTAATCCCCAAAAGGCCGGTAACGCACTTGTAACGCCTCTGGTGTTCCAGGTGTTCTTGGGCGACGCCGATTGCTTACAATCAGGTGATCCGTCTGCTCGTTTACCGGCTTATGCCATAAAAAGGTTGGTTTTCACATACGAAGCGCCCATACTAGCCAAAAGTAGGTGAAGTTTAAACATTTACATCCGACTATACGAGACCAACATGAGCATTAGTACTTCAAGTGAATTAAAAAGTAAAAAACAAATTAAAATATGTTAAACAATATTTCAAAAGACACTACCATTTTGTTTATAAAAGAGAATATTTTATTTGTTTTGTTCACAATACACTTTAAACTCAATTGAATGGATTAAAATACCTTTCAATACAATGAGGAAGTGATTGATTGAAAATACGTAACATAACATAACATAACATCACGCCTTTTATCCCCGAAAGGGTAGGCAGAGGTGCACATTATACCACTGTGCAATGAAACACCCACTTTTCACTATTTATGTTATGAGTCCCATGTAATAGGGGGTGAGCCTATTGCCATATACCGGGCACAATTCCAGACTCCGTGCTACTACTGAGAATATTTAAAAACCCAGTAATACTTTGCCCGACCCGGGAATCGAACCCGAGACCCCTTGCCCGGCAGTCGCACTTACGACCACTCGGCCAAAGAGGCAGTCTATATTGAAAATACGTGTTCTTTTGAAATGTAGGCTAAAGTAATAGGTGTAGAAATGTGGTCCTAGAACCTTAAACTATGACCTAACTGCACTGTACAAATGTAGCTGGCAGAATAGTCGCGTCTGCCAAGACTGAGACGACAGAAGAAGAAAAATTGCAGTCTAAATATTGCATGACTGGCCGATCTGAAAGTCATTAGGGAGAAGCCTAAGTTCTGCAGAGGACGTATTTGACTGATGGGGTGATGAGAACTGACTGCCTCGTTGTGGTCGCAAGTGCGACTGTGCCAAGGGTTCAATTCCCGGGTCGGGTGAAAGTATTACTGCGTAGTTAAAACTTTTCAGTAGTAGCACAGAGTCTGGAATTGTCCGGTATCGCAATCGGCTCACCCCCTATTACATGGGACTCATAACATAAATAGTGAAAAGTGTATGTTACATTGTACAATAGCATTAAGTACCGTGATGTGCATCTCTACCTATCCCTTTGGGGATAAAAGGCGTGATGTTATGTTACGTTAATTAGAGGCTTTCTTCAGTAGTATACTTCATCAGGCTGATTATGATAACAAATGATACTAATTTAACTGAATTAGTGTCAATAGACAAAATATTCATATTGCGCCATGTGGTCAACCGACCTTAAAAAAAAGGAGGATGTTCTCAATTCAACTGTAATTTTTTTCCTCTGTCATGGTCTAAAAAAAATTAAAAAGAAAGCTAGACGAAATGTGTGCGGTATTTACGTAAACAGAGCTAATGATGATGGAAAGACTTAAGACAGAAAATGTATTAAAGTAACCTTGACTGACGTGGGTTAAAGGAAAAACAGGAAAACAGTAGACCAAGTGTTTATTCTGTTATTTATTTTATGAGTACAACAGGCTTTCATACATTTATTGTATCATCACGCAATATTCTCATTTTGACTACAATTTGGCTGCGTCACTATGTAGTACATGCAATATGTGTACAAACACACGTACTCATTAGAAGAACAAAATGTAGTAACGAATGAACTGTGGTATATTACGATAAATAAACATTTTGAATCATCAACAGCCTATAAGTGGCTACTGCTGACCAAAAGCCTCTTCTTGCACGGAGAAGGTTTAGTCATTAATTACCACGGTTGCTCAATACGGGTTGGCGATTTCAAGCTTATAATTAGACATTATAAGCCCTGGTTTTCTCACGATGTTTTCCTTCACTGTTTATCAGTGGTGTAGTAATAATCTTAGAAAGTAAATATAGCTCGGAAAAAGTCACATTAGTACTTGCCGTTGGTAGGTTTGGAACCGCACTCTCATGCATGAGAAGCGGGCGTCTTAAATCTCTAGGCCACCATAACAACACATTTGTTTTCTACAATTTCACAATTATAAGCTGTTCACCTATTATCCTCCGAAGGAATATAAAAGGACGTAGGTCCTTTTGTACTCTTACGGCTACGACAGTTGGTAACAATTACTATGTGGTTTATTATAACCTAATGTCATCAATAACACATTTTTCTAGACCCCATATAAATGCAGAGAACTTTGAAAACTTTTGTTATTTGCCTGCTTAACTGTCACGATTTTTATGTTAAATCAATATTTATAATCTTTCCTGTATTGTTACTTGATTTTTTTAAGGGGGAAAAAATCATCGGATGACTTCTTCCACCTAGGTGAGGCGGAGTGTCAGACTCTTACCGACTGAAAACCACCCCGTTCCTACTCTTGCCCTTCGAGTCGGAGCCCCGGCAACCCTTTAAGTCCTCCGCGGCAACTAACTTGACAAGCAGTACATTACTGCTTGAACTTCAAAAAAAGCATACGATATTAAAAAGACGATTCATCCAATGTTAAACTTAATAGTACTTCGCTCTTCATAAATACGGGTTAAAGCGCCCTTCTACACCGGAATTCCGAGGGTGGTGTCAACGTAAAAAAGATATACAAAAACTGACAGTTGAATGCCGCAGTCTTTTGCCACGATTTACGC